TATGCATTATTTTTATAAAATATTTACATTGGTGTAAACTTTTGCATTGGTAACATGGTGAACTATTTAAAACGCTGTAGATGGGGAGACATATTGCTCTTAAATTTAAAGCCAAAAGTTGGCTGGGATGGGGTGTGTGCGTGTAAATAAAGTGGCTCCAATGAGATGCAGTTACCCAGGGAGCTATGAAGAATGTTCGTAATTGGCTATATGGATATTTTTATACCAATATAAGGTCATGTGCTTTATAATATTACTTAGTTCACTAGCATGATTTATATTTGTTCTATTTTCTCCTCTAATTTCAGCTTATAGATGCTTCTACTATTTATTTAACATTGCAATATTTACTCCAGTTAGGATAATTCAGGATACTAGTGGAAGCTCTAATGAGTGTTCTTTAACATGCAAGGCAAGCTATGGGTAGAGTACTGTTCAACTCTGCTGGCCAAAGGCAGATTGTATGAACTTACATTTTTAAAATAATAAATATTATGACATTGGGTTCTAAAGCATTATTTTCATGTCATCACATAATACTGGTCTTCCATTTTTTAATGATTTTTAAGTTTCATGAGGAAAATAATCTCAAGAAATAAACCTTTATTTCTGCATCCATTTCTTAAAATTTATTTTTATTGTTGAAAGTATTACAGATATCCCTTTTTTCCCCCTCGTTGATCCCTTCCACCTTGCATCTGCCCCCACACCCCCACCAGGCCTTCTCCACACTATGGTCTGTGTCCAAGGGTTATGCATACAAGTTCTTTGATTAATCTCTTCTGCATCCCTTTTGAATAAAATTTGAAAAATAATAAATGCACGATGCATTGTCATTTATGGATTTTAAGGGACCATTATAACAGCCTTCATTCAAAATGTAGTTTCTTGTCTTGCACATGCTCCTGGAACATAAATATTTTGGACCTCAAAATCATTTCCTTAGTACGGTTGCTAAAAGGAAACTTAGGAGGTTAAACTGTCAGGAGTAGAACAGACAGTGAAAATGTGTGAATATTTGGGGTGGAAAGAACACTGAATTAGGAATCAGAAGACACAAGTTTAAGCCCCAACTTCCCCACTTGCTTGCTGCATACCCTTGAGTGACTGACATACATTCTCAGTACTTACCAATATTACCCTCAACTTCCTAATCCTCACAACAGTCTAAGACAATATGAATAACCTCAGAAGTATGGGAACTATAAACTTCAAATCTGAGTTAAAGAGGGCTTAAATTAGATGACGTATTAAAGCAATCTAGTCTAAATGGTATACAAATAATCTGAAAAATTACCAGTGTCCCTCCAGTAAGTCCCCAATTTACCATCAGAAGTGACTGGGGAGAACAGACCACAGTGTCTTGCAAAAGTGAAAATGTTTAATGGAAGGTAATAGAAGCTCCTCTAATTTTCAGTAACAGCATGAGTAATTGTACCGTTCCATCACATTTGTGTGTGTGTTTATACCTTTTAAATGGTTTTGATTAAATTCAAAATAAAGTGAGGAGATAAATTATGTAAATCCCAACTCAAATTCACAAATAAATTTCTTGTCAGAGACTATGCTCTCCATTTCAAAGTAGCTTGAAGAAAAGAGGTTTAAATATGAGTGAACTTTGGTTTTAATGCAATCAAATCATTTCAGTTCTGTAGAATCTAGCATGTGTTCTTAGACTCTAAATCAAACACTGATTAAATATGTAATGGACTTTTATATGCACTGCATGTAAAAATGTGCCATAATATAAAACACAAACACACACACTTGCACACAAAAATCACAGTATGCTGTGCTTTCCAAATCAAGTCAAACATGTTAATGTTGGATTTGAAGCTCTTAATTTTATGGAGCTAAATATGTATATTTAGCTAATCAATGTTCTGAAGCAACTGATTGAGATTTATAATATATTTCTGTTTGGAATAATTATGCTAATTAAGATATACATTTTCAGCTTGCAGATGTTAAAAGAAAATTTGAAGTGCATACTCTTACTAAAGTTGTTATGAGAGTCTATGATTTAAACACAACAAACAAAACAAACAAAAAACTTTTTGAAGGGCCACATTCTCCAACAATTTTTCAAAACACTGTATAGTTAAATATCTGTTCAGAAAGAGAATAGAATTATTTGAGCACATTGGATTGACTCTTAACCAGATTTTCATCACAAATCCCAAACTAGGCTAGACTCTTGGAATCATGTGGAATGGGTGCTCTTCTGACAAAGTGGCTCAAAAATTGGACTGCGAAAATGCATTATGGGTGCAATTCACTGAAACAAAAGTGCCTGAATGTAAGCACTGGCTGACATGTTCAACATTCACAATTATTTACTGAGCACCTCTTTTGTGATGGCCATGTTTTAGATGCTTCAAATTTACCTCTGAACAAAATATATGAAACTTTGGTCCTCTTTGAACTTATTTTCTATTGAGAGATGACAGAGAGGGATAAATGACACTCTATATTGGAAGATAAAAACAATAAAACAAGGAATGGGTATAAGGAGTGTCTCGTGGGGGTTTTAGGATGGAGGGTAAGAGACATTCAGAGAAAAGTGACATTTGAGTAAAGATTTAAAGTAAGTAAAGTAGTAAGCCATGTTGAGATGGAGGGGACAAAAATTTCAGACAGAGGAAATAGCAGGTGCAAAGGTCCTGAGGCAGAACAAGGTCTGGTCTGTTTTCAGGTAATAGCAAGGACATCAGTGGTGCTGGGTGAGATGGCAGTTGAGTCAAAGAGATAAAGGCAGTAGGGTAGATTCTAAGAGCTTCTTTGGCTTTTATTCTCAGTGATACAAGGAGTAACTGAATATTTATAAGCAGAGAAGTTACACCATCTGACTTAAGTTTAGGATCACGCTAGCCAGTGTGGTGCATTTTTTTATTAGGGAACTAGACAGACCTTTCACAATTAAAATATTCTAACTTTTAAAAATGGCTTTTGGACAACTCATATAATTCACTTGTGAAAATGTTATGTGCTTTATACGTGTTGAGTGCATATTTACTTGCTTTTTTACTGAATGTAAAAAAAAAGGATTATAAATGTATGCTTGCTACTTCCACTTTAATGCCACTCACTTGTCACATCAGCGAAAGTGTTCCTTTGCATAACGGTTGTAACATTACAACTCTTAATAGTGCTCTTCGCCTCTGTGGAGTTCTGCTCTAAAGGAGGGCCACTCTAAATGTTCTTGCATATATTCCATGCTCAAGCCTGCCTCTGCCTCTCCACCCTTACTGCTGACCCTGCCTGGAACGCCATCCCCCATCTCCTTTCTTCCTGCCCTTCAAAGCTGAGTTGCCACAAAGACTTCACCAACTGTTTCCATTGCTACGAGCCCCCTTTCTAGAATCCTCACACTCAGAGTGTGCATTATTGATTTTTAGCATCTATCTGTATATTTCATTACGCTTTCAAACAGTTTCATATGTTTACTTTTTTATCTAACCAGGAATCTCCTGGAAAACTGGGTCCATGTCCCTTTCCTGGGGTCTTAAGTCAAAACAGGTGTTCAATAAGTACCTGGTGGGTGGTTGGTTGGTTGACCCTTCCACCCATTTCTATCAATCTAGGTGTTACAGTGAGACTAGGCCGTTTGAATCTGGTTTTCAATGAAGGGATGGCATGAGGAAGCCAGAGGGTATGGGTGATGGCAAAGCAAGCCGGGTGAGAAAACCCTTCTAGTTTTTTGGATTCTGGACATCAGTGTTGCTTGTTCCCTTTTCCAGCTGAACAACTTACTTGCAGAACTTCCCCATGCTTACTTGCTATCCCATCAAATGAAACAACAGTTCCTTTATGTGTCTCTTCAGCCACTATAACTTTAATTTTTGTCTTGTCTTCTTGCTTGTTTTTCACAATGCATTTTTGGTGATAACATCCTTTGCAAACACAACAAGCTCTCCTGTTGAAAGGCTTTTTTATTATGTATTTTAACATATGATAATCCACCATAATAAGTAATTAATTGATTGATAGTAGGAAATAATTAAATACTTTACTTTGGAGTTTATAGATATATTATGAATTCCTAAGCACAAATACACACATTCAAAAAACAATTATTATATACATTTTTATTGTTTGTAAAATCAAAACGTACTAAGGAACAGAGAATACATTTTCTAGTATAATCCTGGCCAGGTATATGTACCAAGAAAATGAACTTGCTATTTTAGTAATGAGCAGACTCAAATTGGCTTTGTAAATGGATGTCAATTCTAAAGGCTCAGTAATAGGGACAGTGATTAAAATATGCATTTGTCGAGGCTCTCTACAACTTTTTATGGTCAGAAACAAACATTTGTTGTCATTGAGGTATTTCACTTTTATTAAAAACAGCAGTGATTATAAATGGAAAGAAATGTCCTATTGAATTTCACACCTTACATTGCTTTCTTGTGATGAAGTCAATTTACCTTGGAGTTCCCTTCAAATGAGAAGTAATTTTAGAGTCTCGACAAAGACCTAACTCCTAAGATAGCCACCTGGACCCAGAGAGAATTCTAAAACTGAGCACATCTTTTGAATGTTGCTAAAATGAACAAATTTATCTTCTGCCTCTATATACAGGCATTTCCTCTGCCATTGAAATAATAAGGGAAAGTGAGCAGGGCAGGTGGAAGAAGCCACATTTAGATCCCATAATGTATGCTTGAATATGCATAGGTGGGCCATTTTCTTGTTAAAGGGATAAGATATTTGCTAATAATATAGTTCAGCTTCTCAGTCCATTAACACTTAATGGTTGACTTTTAGTGAATAAATGTTAGGGGAAATTATTTTTAGATGTTGATGTTTAATGTCTAATAAAATCAATGAGCGATTCGCATATATTACTCAAAGGAAGTAGGAATTCTGTTATTCCGTATTATCTCATAAAAAATCTTATAAAGGATTATTAGATTTTTAAAAAATAATGCAATTAAAAATAATCACAGCCATGTTTTACCATATTCCCTGGCTAATAATCTTTGTTACATATTCAGGCATGAACTTCTTGAAGAAGCTCGAAGGAAGGGATTGCCTTTTGCCCAGTGGGATGGGCCCACGGTCGTCGCATGGCTAGAGGTAAGAGAATTTAACTAGAAGGCTCTTAATTCAATCACTGCTAAGTCGGTAAAGGCAGGTTTCTGAAGTTGTAGCTTTCCAATAGCCTCAAATAGCTCGTAAAAGCACTATGTGCTTTATCTAGAGACCTGTGGACATTGTGATTTTGTTCTATTGCTTTCTTGTGATTGTGGCGGAGGGACACAGCCAGTGGGATAAAAGGAAGTTTCTCTAAATTCCATCCTCTTTTTGTCTAAACTAGAGTAAGAGAAGAATCCGTTTTTGAGCCACCCTTCTGTTGTTGCAAGAAAACATCTGTCCCAGTCCATCAGTCCAGGGTCCTCTCTCCACAGGTTACAGAGAAGAACCGTTTTCGGATTTTCCAAGATACCACTGCCACCTAACTGCATACAGATCTGTTCCTTTGCTTATAGTATATTCCTGAACCGAATTCTCTAATGCCTAGGGGCCAGCTAGGGTTAAACAGCTGGAATAAAGCAGAAAACATATTCCCTTGTTCCCGGCTGTGTCTAAACTGAATGTGATAATGTTATAATGAACTACATTCACCATTTCCTGCACAACGCAGGGGTCTGGAAAAATTCAGTAATGCCCGAACGAGGGGAGGGTATCAGGAGCTCACTGGGACAATAAAGGAAATACATATTTGACCACAAAGGGACCTCCATGCACCTTATCGGTGGTGTTCACTGCCACTTCTATTTAGTTCTCTAGAGCGGGCTTCTAGAAGCTTCTGAGATATGGCAATGTCAGAGCAAAGAACACAGGCTTTCCCTGCCTGACAGAGGTAATTAGAACTCATTGTTTCAAATGGTTTGGGGTTATAAAGTCACCCACCTTCGTTATCATATCACATCCAGAGTAGAAGGGTTGATCAATGAGGAAAAATGAAAACCCATACGAGTTTTAAAAGCAGTCCTATAAAGATCGATATAAAAGTGTTTTGCCTTTTTTCTTGGACTGGGAGAAAGAAACGGTGTCTTGTTTTATTTTATTCTCTCGTAGCCAGTCAGGGTATTTTTAGAATTTTAGTAATCAGAGCTACTTCTTCCAAACATTTATTAAAATTACTATATCTTAAAAATCAATTATAAGACAAAATGCTTAGGGAAGAATACCTCAAATTTGATAGCACTTCTTTGTTCAGTTCCACGCCAATAAAATGAGCTACACTTTGACAGAGTCAATTGCTATTTTGGCAAGTGATGAACAATCCCTTTGATTAAAAAAAAAACCTAATTACAAAAAAATACAACCAGATTTGCTGACATTAAGGGGCTAGGAAATGACAGGCAGTAAGTTTGTGCTAATTAAACCTATCCCGAGCGCACAAAAATTGTTCATAATGTGCTTCCTAAAGTGACTCAAATTGTGCAATGGAATAAACAAGATGAATGAGCTGGTGAGCCAGTGAATGAGAGCCCTTAACTCTCACCTCCCTCGGCACCTCCTGTGCACACAGCCTGCTGAGAATGAGGCTTCACGCGCCCTTTATCCACATCAAAAACTTTTAAAAGTCTAATCAGGGATGACATTGGTAACAATGTATTGGCAGGCATTTTGGGAAATCCAAGCATTTTCACAAGTTTTTGTAGAAATCCAAATATCCTACTTAGAAGAGAGTACGTGGAAATAATTAGGGTTCAGTGAAGGTATATGAAGGTGTTTAGTTATTTTGAACAACCTGTGTTTATAAACTAAGAGGTGAAGAATTATCTTTGGTCATATCTGATCATACCTGTCAAGTTAAGGCCAATTCCTGTGTCTAACCTGATGGAAGAGTATATTAAAGAGTCCCTCACTCCTTTCTTTTATTTCAGTCGTAGCCTGGTCCAAATTGACTCAAATATTTGGCTTTTTGTTTGTTCCCCCTATAGAGACAAGCAGCCTTCTGATATGGTAGGCTTTTTTTTTTTATAAATAAAGCGTATCTGTATTAGTTACCTATGACCATGTAACAAATGATAACCAGACTGAGCATTTATTTTCCTCATGGCTTCTGTGGGTCAGGAATCTGGACATGGCTTAGCTATGACCGTTCAGTCTCTCACAGGCTACAAATGAAGGCATCAGCCAGGGTGGCAGTGTTCTCCAGGCTCGCCTTGGGGGGAATACACTTTCGAGCTGACTTGTGTGTTCACAGACATGATTGGGTTTCTTGCCAGATGTTGTCCAGAAACATCTGTGCTTTGCCATGCGGGCGTCGTCACAGGGCCACGCACAGCAGGGCAGCTGGCTTTTCCTAGAATGAGAGCTCCGGGAGGGAAGAGGGGGAGGACTAGCAGGAATGAAGCCACAGCCTTTTTGTAAAGTGATCTGGAAAGCGTCATCCCTTCCGTTTTATCATAGCCCGTTCCTTAAAACAGTCATTGAGTCCAGCCCAAACTCAAAGGAACAAGATTATCCCCGGGCAGGAAAATCAGGAGGGGCTCGTTGGGATCCACCTTAGAACAATGCCTAGGACTACTAAGGCTGGACCCCTTGTGAAGGCACTTTACGAATGAGAAGAATTAGGCTGAGCTTTAGAGGTACAGACTCCCTGATGACAGGGGAAGAGTCAGATGGAGCCCAGGCCTTCTGACTCCTGGCACTGCATTTGCTGATTTGCAGTTTTCCTTCTTCCTCTTCCTTCTCACTTTTCTCACTCTTACGTTCTTCTTTTGCTCAGTCTGTTCACATCAGCAAATAAACAGCCCTCTAAAATTAGTATTTTGGCTATTGAAAAACCAAGGGTAAAGCTGCTCACTGGCATATGCCCTGCTTCCTACTCATAGCTAAGTAAGAAGTATGGCTTCTTACCCATACCTCATGGTGGGGGGAACATGGAGAGAATATTCCTTTTTGGAGTGGATGTAATTCACATGCCACAACATGCATGTGAACTGGCATTCGTCCAGGGCTTGGGATGAGTGTCGGTCACTGTGCTGTGCTCACTGCGCTACGGGTTCGATTGTCTCTCAGGAACATCACAGCAAAGTCGAAAAATTGAAATCCTTACTTTCTAATTCGTTATTCATGTTGTTACTCTTTAGCTAAAGTTTTACAGATATTTATAAATTCAGTGTCTTTCATTAGCACATTTCATTCTCCAAAAATAAGTTCATATAGAACATCTAACTAAGTTCACACAAGTATCACATGGTGTAGGTCGGTACCTGATAAATGTGGCTGAGCCACATGGCCGGCTTTGATCAAAAACGTGGGGCTGGAGGCGGGAGGGCTGGCTCATTCTGTGACCGAGCTTGTCGCACTCAGAATTCCACAGGAGAATCATAAATTGAAGTCACTCATTCAACAAACACTGACTGAGCCTTTACCAAATGCACCTTGTAGCTGCTCCTCCTGTGTTGAACAGCTTGTGTTAAACAATTTGGTATTGCACAACTATTAATTTTATCCTAAACAATAAAATTTAGTTGTTGAATTACAGACCCTGGAAACTCAATTTCAAATCTTTATTTTCCCTTATGGCCTACCTGGTATTTTTTAATAAATTACTTAATGTCCCTGTGCATAGGTCTCTTCTGGGGAAAATAATAACATCTATCTTATGGGATAGTAGCAATAAAAGGGCTCATACATGTAAGGTACTTAGAATAGTGCCTAGCACATAAGAGACACTAAAATTATTATTATTATTATACGTGTGTGTATTTTCCTTCTGTATTCCTACAGCTCTGGTTGGGAATGCCTGCCTGGTACGTGGCAGCTTGCAGAGCCAACGTGAAGAGCGGTGCCATCATGTCTGCTCTGTCAGACACGGAGATCCAGAGAGAAATTGGGATCAGCAACCCTCTGCACCGCTTAAAGCTGCGATTAGCAATCCAGGAGATGGTTTCCCTGACGAGCCCTTCGGCTCCTCCGACGTCGCGAACTGTGAGTCCATTTGCCTCCCTCCCTCCCAGGGCCGGGCCAGTAGCAGCACCCCCGGGCCCCGGGCGGGGGCAGCGCATCCATGGCCCGTGAGCTCCTCTGGAGAGACTCAGCTGGCCCTTCGCTAACCTTGCTGCCACTGAAAACCAAGGGGTTTTCAACCGAGGAGCTGGGATTCCTCTCAGATTTGAAGGCTGCGACCAAGACAGACTTTTGAACTAGTCTCTAGGCTAAAGTTTAATTTTTTTTCTCTCCCAAGCAACAAGACCCCACGCTTACTCATTTTCGGGATGTTCCTTTTTCAGTGTAATTCAACATCTCAGGTGATTAGCTGTTGGCATTTGTGCTTTTGGAAGATGCAATGCTTCAAGCATGACTTCTGAAGCAGCCTTCATGTTTGTGAAAAAAACAAAGACATTTGATATTTTATAAATACCAAGTGGAATACCTCCCTTCAAAATCTGTTTGCTTCTCATTTATAAATTCCTATTCTCATAATTTTACCCTGTCCTAATATTAGGAAAGAACTAAATGTTTAAAAAATGCACACCAGATGACAAATTTAAATTCTAAGGAAAACTCCCAAATGATATATCATTGTTTCCTAGTCTATTCCTGAATGATGTATTTTGCCGATAAAGGATATGGTTTCTGATGTTAACTAGACTCCTCTGCCCCCATGTCTTATACGGAATACTGAAATATGGAAGAATGGGGTAAATTTGAGTAGTGGATAAGAGAGAGAAAAGTGATACTACATTAATGTGGTTTTTATATGTGATCTTAAACAATTTTAGAGAATTGGCTTTATTTTTACTGTATTTATCCTTATATTCCCTTCCAGTATACTAGGTTCTAATGCCAGAAATACAGCATCAAATTTAAAAACCTTTTATCTTTCTGTCATGATTCTATTATAACTTCTTTTAAAATAATATGTAGAAAAAATATAAAATTTAACAAACTCATATGCATAACATACTTTCAAGTGTATATAAATGCTGTAAGCTATAGCTGAAGTACTACTCAAGTTAAAAAATAACTTAAAACAAAACATGAGCAGGCCATTAAAATAAAGTTATTGTAAACCAGACTCAAGCCTGATAGTTCCCTGAACAATTTCCAACAGAGAGAGAAGCATCACAACTGGCTCATATCAACACTCTCCTCCCAAGAGCAAATGCATAAAAAATTACTAAACATTTCTAGCTTTGAAAAGCGAAGAGCATTTGAAGTTCCAGCTTTAAGGTGGAAAATAGAATATACTTTTTCATTTCTTTTTAGCATCCTAATTCATTTCTTAGTGGAAAGTGGAATAATTAAGCATTATTTCTCTACAAAGGTCTAAGCAAACTAAAAAAATTTAAAAACCACTATAGGTGAGGGAATGCTCAGTTTTTTAAAGAAGAGTTGAATGTGAAAAGAGCATCTGAACTTCATAATCTAGCCTCAGTTCACCTCAAAGGCTGTATCTCCCCAGGTCAGGGTCCCAATCACACAGAACTACTTTCAGTTTCCTAAACATTTATGCTCGTGATTGAATATCCCCTTTTGTGTTTGATTTTTCTTCTGCCTGGAACATTCTTCCCAGTCTAGGATTACCATCCTTCTCTAACTCACCCTGTGTCCAACGACTCCTGAATGTCCTTTCTCTCCAAAGCTTTCACTAAGCTTTCACATCTTTGTCTGCTTCCCCCCTAAGTTATCACTATGGATACCTATAAAAACCATTTTATAATTTTATCTCCCTGATTAATCCCACACTAGGCCAAGCAAGAATATTACTAGATTACCCATAGTGCCCAAGCCTTAGCTCAGTGCCAGGAAAATTGTGAATAATCAGTAAATATTCTTCTTAAAAATGATGCTATACAAGTCACCCCAGCCACCATTACAGAGGATCTGAAATACGTATGGCCCTGCCTTCAGAGAGGGCAGCTATGCTAAGGAAAGTAAGAACTACTCACCAGTAGGTTTAGTAGGAGATGATATGTTTTCATTTCTAAAAGTGAGGTAGAAGGAGAGTGCTGTGGAATTCCATGAAAGGAGAAATCACTTGTGGTTTAATAGTCTTCAAAGAGGAATTAACATTTTAAGGACTGATCATATATTATTAATTAATTATTACTTTTTTTTTCACTGTTAACTTTTTGACAGAGACCTTTCCAGTCTGTTTTCTTTATATTTTTATAGAGATGAATTATTTTGTACTTTTAAAACTTAGTAACATTCTCCTCAATTTAATAAATATGCAATTTAAATATCATTTTTAATTGCTACATCCCTCCTTCATGGAAATACCATAATTTATTTAACCAAATCTCTAATAGTGGACATTTTGCTTATTTAACAATTTTCATTGTGTTTACAACACCGTAATGGATATGCATGTAGTTATGTTGGTGCATAAACTGGTTATTGCCAAAGCAATAAAGTGTAGGGAATTTATATTCTTACTATTTTTAAACCTTAATTGCCAAATTGTATTGTGTAGCCTTTCCCTTCTTTTTATTAACATTGATTATCACATTGCTTAAATTTACATTTTTAAAATTATTAGTGAAGTTAAATTTTTCTCATATGCTTACTGATTTAGTACTTAAATGAGTTAACTATTTATAATCTTTTCCATTTTTCTGTAGAATTATAGAAGTTTTCATCTTTTTACTAATGTCTAAAAGCTCTTTATTCACAGATACTATATGCCCTTTGCCAAATATTGGTTCAAGTTATATGAGATAAAGTTAAGTTCTGTCTATTTGCTACAAAAATGATCTACTGAGTGTCCATCTACATGGAAGTATTTACTCATTTCTAGTATATTTCAAATATGATTTGCTTTGCAAAAAGAAAAATGAAATTACATGTAAACTTCTAGTTATGAATCCCATGCATCAAGTGAAGATGAAAACATACAAAAGCATTTTTTAAAAAGAAATGCTTCATGCCTTTCAGAAAATTGCAATTAGTTCAGCAGATACAGGTTTTTCTGTAGGTTTTAGTTTGGGTTTGGGTTCCTCAGCCAGGTCTATCTAGTCCATTCACTCAAGTTCTCAGGAGAAAACAAGGTAATTAGGCTCTTATTAATTTGTTTCCAACTGAACAGAACTTCTGCCTGATTCTGCCTCCTTTTTTGTCTAAATAAAATGGGCTAAACCATCAAAAGGAAAATCTAAATTTTACATTGCTTGTTTCCTTTGTCCAGTCCTAATCTTCCAGCTTCCTTTCTTCTTCCTAAACTGGTGTTGCTGTAGAGGCCTCTTACCTAATAGAGTAAGGAGGGGGATGCCATTTAATTGGCATCTCCATAATTAATTTTAATTAACATTTGGTTAAAAAGGGATGTCATAAGGAATAAGTTACATTCTTTAAATATTTTCCTTAAGTAAAACTATGTAAATGTTCAGGAACTTACAAATTGAGATGAAACACCTAAGACCTTCTTTGAATATGAATCCACTGCCTGGAGTTCCATGTTATCTTGCTCTCATAACTTCATCCATAAAACATCTTCAGTTTCACTAGTTGCAATTTCTTTTTAAAGTAATAACTTCATGATACTTGAAAAGCTATTTGACTGCAAAATCTTCCGGGACATTTACAATTTCTTCCCAGGCTTTGACCAAATTGTATCTCATTGATAGTGTGTTTTAAGACTTGTTTATATCTAGTCTTTCCAAATAATTCAACTTAGTGTTTATGCATGAACCAAATTTTATTTTTTGATTTATGTAATATTTATTTAAATTACCTAATTTTAAAAAGTGCAATGGAAATAAATAGGTTTGGGAACAAACACAAATGATCTTCGGTAAAAATATAATTCATCAAATTTGAGCAGATGTGTAAGGCATAAGATAGGCATCGCTCAGCACAAAGTACAGAGGAAACAGAGACCATTTATTAAACGAAAGATTTGCTTGGTGGAGATTGCCTAACAAAATTTCTAATGATATTGTAGTGATAGACAACATTAGTGGAGTACTTATTAAGTGTCAGTCCCTATTCTAAGTGCTTTACATGTAATAATATCTCAGAGCAACACTAGGAGAGAGGTGCTTTTATTATATCTGTTTTACAGATGGGAAAACTGATGTACAGAGAGGTTAGGTGACTTGTCCAAGGTCACACTCTTATGTGGTTCTTCCCCGGAGTCGATGATCCTAACAAGTGCATCTCCTGCTTCCTGTACCAGTTTTCCTTCTCGTTTATGGCATTCCTCCAATCTGCTTTGGTTCTCCCTTTCATTATTATTAACCTCATAAGCCTCAGTCTTTAATGTGAATAAGTTGAGCTATAATTATATAAATACTAGTCTTTTTATAATGGAAAATACTTCTTTTCTTATAATGAGAAACATAAATTTAGAGAGGGGGAAAATGTGGATCTAGGCCATTTCATGTGAAAAGTAAATTTCAAATCAATGTACTTTGGAATTCAATTGTAAAATAAAAAACACTTCAAAATGACATAAGTAGTAACAGAGGTTACTTCCAGCTAGGTAAGGTTTAGGGTTATTCTGTCTGGCTGCTTTGATTATTTTATTTTTCTGAAAGCAGGAGAATAAATTATTTTCCCTTAATTAATTTTTATGAGTTATTTCTTAAGCTCATTTTGATATTTATTTTTATGTTATAACGTTCTCCTGAATGATTTAATTGAGTCCTCTAATCCTTCAGGTCCTTTAGGAATTTTTCTCCCAATGCTCTTTTGATAATACTATTTAAATATTCTACTCCATCTGGACTAAGGTGAGGCAAGGGGCCACCTAAAACACAAAATTTAAGGAGGCATTCACTGTCAGATGCCAACCCCGTACTTGCAAAATCCTGAAAATGAGGCTTCCTTAAACTGAGTTCAGTTGGCACCTCACCTACCTCATCCTAGTCTCAGCACGTATCAGAATATATTATATGGAAATGTAAATTTATCAGTGTTTTTCTAATAATGAAGCATGCAGTTTTAGCCACTTAGCAGAAGTAGAATCTGAAATTTAGAGAGGTTTGGGAAATGTCTTAGGAAGTTACTGAGAAGTGGAACTGGTAGAACTCAAGCCTCCTGATTATAATTGTTAAATTACCAGGCAATTGAAAATTCATAAATCACCTGTTAGACCCAGATGGTATTAGCCACACACACACACAAAATGACAACTGGTTGGTTCTCCAGCTCAGATATTGGGGTTGCAGCGTCGACTGCCAAGGACAGTGAGCAGATGATTTTCAGGGGCTCTCGGAGAACCACAACCCAATGATGTGATGCTTGGCCTTTGCGCTTTTCCAGCCTGCTTTTGCACTCTCCTTATCCTGGGACCAAGGCCCCAGTGTCCGTATGGCCTCTGGGTGCCAAGGGCGCCCCACTGTGGCTATTCTCTGAGATAGGCTCACTGCTGAAGCTCTCACGCTCTACATCACCCCTTCACGAATTGCCTGGGTGGAAGTTCCATCCCATAAATTGTCGTGAAAAGAAAGAAATCTGAATAGCTTACTACATACGGGCTTGCTTATAAAATAAACTTGTTAGAACCTTGACGAATGGCTCATGGATTGAGCTCTGTGGAAGCTATTTCATGAGTAACTTTACAAGATTCTAGAGCAAGCAGTACTCCTCACTAGTAAAACTACAGATCAAAGTGAATGACTAACATAAACCTTCAGAAAGTTTGCCAGCCGTACTGTGGAAAATTGCCCTGGATATATACTCACTTGGCATATAAAGGGACAGATTCAAACCGTAACTTCCAGCACCTTGCCCATCCCAGAACATGGTAACAGACTGGCAAATGTAGACTTTAAGATAACCTGTGAAATAGACTATACATGTGAGCATGTTAGGATGAGGTAATACTGGTCAAGTTTCTTATACGAGGAGGAGATCATCATTTGAATTCACAATCAGGGTAGAGGCGACAGAAGTCATTGTAAATCCAGCCTGGCTTCAATGAATTTCCCATCAGTAGGCATCACGGAAGCTCACTTTGAAGACAGTGCAGGCACCCAGGCAAAGCTCTGGGACCACTGGGTGCGAAAGGCATGTGACAGAGGAGTGCAAAGTTCTGTTTAGCATAGCACTCCTCAAAAAGTCAATAAAAGCAATTTTTTCCAAATGATTTAATGATTCATATATTCATATGCAACTCTCTGCTCATAATGAAGATCAGTTTCAGAAACTGGAGGTGGCGGGGGTTAATGACATGGATGGCTCTTGAATTCTAAGTATATTTTACAGGTGTGTGAAGTTTTATTCTCTAGAAAAAAATAGATATACTCTAAATTCCAAATGGTAACAGAATGAGCATTCTATAAACATATATATATATATATATATATATATATATATATGATGGCTACTTTGGGGGATTTTTATGCCCATATGATTGATTTGTGATTATGAATATTTACTACTCAACTCCCTTTTGTTACTCACTTACGCATGTAACTCTCTTATATGTGAAATTTCTCTTATATCAAATTATAGTCATCATTTTAGTTTATATGTAGTCGCTTTTTAAATTATATTAAATTGTATTATTTTTAATAGAAGGAAATTCAAACATGGTACTTATGTGAGTGGTAGCAAAGGCAAGACAAGTGACTTATGTTGGGGTGTTAACTTTGTGACTTCCAGTTCTTTAAAACTGGACACATTCCCAGCAAGTAAGCAATGGGTGGGCTGTAAATTCCATTGTGACTGTGGGATTGATGTGCTTGGGCAACTTTGCAGCGTTCATAGAGGTTTCCCAGGGAAGTGGTGGAATGAGAAGTGGTTCTCAGCGGCCTTTACCATCAACGACATGCTTGATCCTTTGTATTACTACGTGGACTTTGATTTAGAAATTGTACATTTTTCATTGTGGAGATCAGGTATTGTGGGTTGTTTTACTTGGAAAGTAAATGATGTGTCAGAATAGAGTAGTGACTGCAGGAGGAAAATTTTTCTTTTGCATTATGTTCTTTATAATGAGATAGGAGACTGCTGAAAAATCAGGACACTTAGCTTTTGCAATTTCTGACAGTATTTAGTAAGGCTGAAAAATATATTTTGTTAAATAAAAAATAGCATTTCACTTCCTTTTCCTCTATAAGAATAGAGGAAAACAGCATATCTACTGAATTTTAAAAGGAAGAACACATTTGGGAAAAGCTGGCATTGGTTTCCAGACAGGGTATAACAGTGCTTTTAGCTTTGTATTGACAACTAATTTTCTCTTTCCAAGGACATTGAAGAATCAAAACTCTGTGAATAAAATATTGGTAATAATACAACAAAACATACTTGTGCCTTTGTTTTCTGGAGAAAAAAAATTAAAAAATACACTCTTCTACAGTTCAAATTTAATCCGTTCTCCATGGATCCGATAACCACCTACCTTTGAAAGGGAGATGTTCATTAAGCCTTTTNATTTAAAAAGCGACTATATATATATATATATGATGGCTACTTTGGGGGATTTTTATGCCCATATGATTGATTTGTGATTATGAATATTTACTACTCAACTCCCTTTTGTTACTCACTTACGCATGTAACTCTCTTATATGTGAAATTTCTCTTATATCAAATTATAGTCATCATTTTAGTTTATATGTAGTCGCTTTTTAAATTATATTAAATTGTATTATTTTTAATAGAAGGAAATTCAAACATGGTACTTATGTGAGTGGTAGCAAAGGCAAGACAAGTGACTTATGTTGGGGTGTTAACTTTGTGACTTCCAGTTCTTTAAAACTGGACACATTCCCAGCAAGTAAGCAATGGGTGGGCTGTAAATTCCATTGTGACTGTGGGATTGATGTGCTTGGGCAACTTTGCAGCGTTCATAGAGGTTTCCCAGGGAAGTGGTGGAATGAGAAGTGGTTCTCAGCGGCCTTTACCATCAACGACATGCTTGATCCTTTGTATTACTACGTGGACTTTGATTTAGAAATTGTACATTTTTCATTGTGGAGATCAGGTATTGTGGGTTGTTTTACTTGGAAAGTAAATGATGTGTCAGAATAGAGTAGTGACTGCAGGAGGAAAATTTTTCTTTTGCATTATGTTCTTTATAATGAGATAGGAGACTGCTGAAAAATCAGGACACTTAGCTTTTGCAATTTCTGACAGTATTTAGTAAGGCTGAAAAATATATTTTGTTAAATAAAAAATAGCATTTCACTTCCTTTTCCTCTATAAGAATAGAGGAAAACAGCATATCTACTGAATTTTAAAAGGAAGAACACATTTGGGAAAAGCTGGCATTGGTTTCCAGACAGGGTATAACAGTGCTTTTAGCTTTGTATTGACAACTAATTTTCTCTTTCCAAGGACATTGAAGAATCAAAACTCTGTGAATAAAATATTGGTAATAATACAACAAAACATACTTGTGCCTTTGTTTTCTGGAGAAAAAAAATTAAAAAATACACTCTTCTACAGTTCAAATTTAATCCGTTCTCCATGGATCCGATAACCACCTACCTTTGAAAGGGAGATGTTCATTAAGCCTTTTTCCTAATGAATACACACAGAAGTGTTGTTTTAAATCTATCTCACATGAGCTTCACAGCCTGCCTCTTTCTATTTAATCTTTTTAAGTAGAAGCAACAGGGAGCGTTGCGCCAGCCCGCCATGCTGCCTCTCTGGTGCATGCCGTGGCTGCAGGAGTGCTGCCCTGTGGCGGGCGCTAACTTACCGTGGCGCTGCCTTTCTCCTTTACCACGCTCTCCCGGACCCCGCCGCCCCGCGCCCGGCCTCCCCGCAGCCGTCAGGCAACGTCTGGGTGACCCATGAAGAAATGGAGACTCTCGCAGCTCCCGCAAAAACGGTTAGTCTTCATGGTTAGTCTTTACAGCTCTGTTGAACATGAAGAAAAGTTATTTTGTTGCTTTATTTTTGTTTACAGGAGGTTGAAGTAATGGGATGTGTTTCCATAGTGTTCTGCTATGATAACTAACGTTTTTGTTATGGTTTTAGTTTACTGCACTTGGACAGTTTTAAATAAAGCAGTGCTAGGTTGGGATAACGTGGTTAATGTCTTAAGCACCTATAATATGCGAACAATAATAATTAACAACAGTAACTTATTTATCTATTTTGCAGCATTGGTAACAGATATCACTTAGTATTGGACACATTCATAGAAAATATGTATTACCAAACCCAAGTACACTTGTAATAAAAAGTTTAGACTGAATACTCATGTTTAATACAATCATTACATTTCTTGTATTTTGCCATTTCAGTTAGAGCACTTTACCCTCTCCCCGCCTCCTTCCAAAAAAAGTTCTGTTGATTTGGTATTAGAAGAACAGGTTTAAAAAAATTCTTGGTGACTCTGATTGTAATTGCCTACTTTTAAAAATATAATATTACATATAGTCATTTTTATTTAAAGTGGCAAAGTTGAGCATGACATATATTTTAGTCTTAGAAACTTGTTTTTTATTAGATGTTCTTTCAGTTTTATCCCTATTTGAAAAATTGATTATCTGGTTTATGATGGATAAAAATGCCAGTGTTGTGTACTAATTATGTTTCTGTTTTAGCTTGTTGTTATTTTTTCATTTTTCCCCTATTTTCATTTTGCTTGTTTTGGCTATTGTTGAAATCTAGTTGATACCACAAAACTTTTTTAGAGGGATGCAATTACTTTTCCTCTTCATTAATTTATTTTATGTAAGATTTCTGTGTGTGTATGTGTATGTGTAACAATGGACTGCACACAGGAAATGATACACCATATAGCCAAGGGGTTAGTAGGCTATANCAATGGACTGCACACAGGAAATGATACACCATATAGCCAAGGGGTTAGTACGCTATACATATATAATATATATCTTATAACATAGGTGTATATATATATATATATACATTTATGTAAATGTTTTGTGTATATGATCAGAAATTTTATTATAATTCATTACATTTAGAAAACTACACACTTCTGAGAATTTAAAAAGGTTTAGAATTACCAGATCAAATGTATATCATGAAACTCCCCTGTGTCATATGTGTGTATTTAATTAGAATTAATTAGAAACTCTGTAGTTGCCTTTGAACTGCTACATCAATTACTGCGGGTCTGAATAAGAATCTGTGTCTTGAGCTTCCTGTGTCATAATTAACACTTTCAATAACAATTTTGCTTCTGCTAGAAATTTCACTATATTCATTTGAAATTAATTTATACTTATCTGCTTTATTAATCATTCCCTGCTGCTAACACAGAAAGAATCTGAGGAAGGAAGCTGGGCCCAGGTAGGAACTCAAATGCTTTAAAACAGTATCATTACTACGTTATGAGGATATAAAGAAACGGTTTTATTCACAATATTATAAATCTTCCCTTAGCTTAAGATTAGGCTAATACGTATATTTGAATTTATTATGCTTAATTATATACATATATCCTTTTAAATCACCATATTTTGCAAAGATGGTTACCATTTTACACCTGGCCTCTTTTTAAAGGGAACCTCCTTTCTTCTTTAAAAGAATCATTGTAGCTGAAGTTTTTCTGAAATCACCCCTAAATATATTTAATCAGGAATCATTCAAGTTGGATATACGAGGTGGAGAATTTAAAATTTATTTGGAATCACATTTGCTTTAAAGAATAAAGGGAAGTGTGTGAGGATTGGGATTAGGGGGTGTTGGCAGCATTGAAACGGCAAGGCCAGTGTCTCCCATTTATTGCAATGGCCATACAAGGCACACGGCTGCACTTGGAGCAAACACGTTTGCGAGGAAGTTGTGAATTTTCTAGCATTTCCACATGTTGTATAACTGAAAGAATTACAGGCATGTGCCATGTAATGACGTTTTGGCCAATGGTGGACCACTTACACCACACGGCCTAGGTATAATAGGCTGTGCTGCCTAGGTTTGTGGAAGTACACACTGTGATGTTAGCAAAATGGTGAAATCGCCTAAGGACTCGTTTCTCAGAACACATCCCCATTATTAAGCAGTGTGTGACTGTAATGTGTGTTATAGTTAATGTGATTCAAACCTTTGACTATAAGGAAAATTTCAGTAGTTATAACTAAGGCCTATCTTCAAACATTCAGTAAATTAGCACTGCAATTAGATGTTGATGTGATAAGAATTTCATCATTTTTAAGGACGCACCAAAAAAGGGAAGCACCTAGATTTTCATTGGAAATATATGTTATAATTACAATTGTCATTTGATAGGGACAGACACTATAAAACTAATAGAGAGTAGTAATCCTTATTAAAAATTGGTTTAGAGGTAATGGTTGATTCTGCTTTTCATTTTGACTGTTACAGAGTTTGGTAAGATCAGTTCATATTGTTATATTAAAGAATTAGATTACCATTCTTAGTTTTTGATCATGCCCTGCTTCTAGAGTCTATATTGACTGATTTCTAAAAAAGATGATTCTTTCCAATAATCTCTATGAAATATGGCTCATGCTTCACTAGGTAATGACAGTTGTCCACATAAAACTTCAGCATTCTGTCTCTCTAGCCTTGTTGCTTTCTTTTTTCATTTACTATTTTCTATTTGCCATTATATCATAGCAATGTCATACCACTGAAGAAGAGGAAATGGTGGGGTATTAGCTAACAGATAAAAATAAAATAAATTAAATAAACCTATTTATATAAAGAATCTTTAAGCTCAGCATTTGTATTATACCATTAATTCTAATTTTTCCTAAAAACGCACATTTGTATAAAGTGTAATTCCTTTTGAGAATACAACATGAATACCATCATTTTCTATAGACAAGCACCTTGATACAGGTACACAGAGTTTCATTTTGTACCAAACTAAATCAGATTTTAGAGGCTAAATATTATTTCTGCTTTGTTTCCATATGTAATAGTAATTTAATATCAGTCGTAATAATAGACAATGTCCCCCAATTACCATCTCGTTTCACTGGCTAAGAAACATGACTGCTATAAAACAATTCTAGTGTCCGGTTTTTCTACAGACCCTGGCTTATGGAGATATGAACCACGAGTGGATTGGAAATGAATGGCTTCCGAGCCTGGGGTTACCTCAGTACAGAAGTTATTTTATGGAGTGCTTGGTAGACGCAAGAATGTTAGATCACCTTACGAAAAAGGATCTCCGTGTCCATTTGAAAATGGTGGACAGTTTCCATCGGTAGGTTTCTTCCAAAGAGTCATTAAAGTAAAACAATAACTAATCTACATATAACTGAATCAAAAAGAGATGTTTAGGAAATAGAGAATACGTGCTATTCAAAACATCTGTGAACATTTACTTGGCAAAATATTTTTGTGCAGCAAATTACAGGGCCTATCTAATGTAGAGCTGCTTGCATATTACATGCCGAAAGCTTATAAAACTATACATTCATAAAATTCTCATACAGCATAAATCTTTTTTTTCTTTATCTTTGGGAAACCCCATGGTTGTGATTTGTATCTGTGTATGTTTTTATATTAGAATAATATTAAGAGTAAAATCAATTCAGTTTTAACTATAAATATATGTCATTGTAAATTACATAAATCAGGAATATACTAGAAAAAATGGAGAAGGAATTCTGCTCTGAAGAATACTTTGTGTTTTTGTATAAATCTTATAGTGTTTTTCCTTATTTGTACATTGATTTACGGGGGGGGGGAAGCTGAATGGGTTGTGAGATAGCTTATAAGGACACAGATGAATAAAATGCAATTTTATGCCCAATAGAAACTTTGTATCACTCTCAATTACCCTATAGCATACACATTGTTAGGTAATGAGCTCCCTGTCACTGAACATTTAGGCCCTCAAATTTTGTGTGGTTGCATTAGAGTTTTGCATACTAGAATTTTGGATGACACACTTGTGTTTCTTCCCCTTCTTCATTAGATCTACTTTTAATCACTTTATTATTATAATAGAAATGATTATTAGAATAATCAAGTTTTCTTTAAAAAAAAAAATTACTCAGTGGCAGGGTTCTTGATGTTCCAGGAACTGCACAAGCTTCATCTCTATGCCATGCTTAGCTCCGACTTAAAGCAGGTGGTACCTGACTGCGCACTACGTCTCGTTGCCTTGATAGCCCCTGTTGGGAATCTGACAGATATTGTTGTAATAATATAGATCCTCTTCATGGCACAATTTAATATTACATATAAAAACTTGACAGAAATTTGCCAAGAGCTATTGATTTAACCTCAGGTTGCTTAATGGCCATGATGTTTATTATATCAACACTATCTGGTATCCCACTGAATTAGTTTTTTGCGGCTGCCATAACAAAATACCACAAACGGGGCGACTTACACGAGAGAGATTTATTTTCTCACAGTTCTGGCGTAATGAAGTCCAGGATCAAGGTGCGGCAGGATCGGTTTCCTTTCATGCTGCAGATGGCCGCCCTCTCCCCGTGTCCTCCTGTTGCGTCTCTGTGTGTGCCCCTCCGCAGTGTCCGCCTGGGCCCAAAGTCCCTCTTCCCATGAGGACACCTGTCAGGCTGGATGAAGGCTTACCCTAAAGCCTTATTGGAACTGAATTACCTGTCTAAAGACGCTGCCTCCAAATACAGTCACACTCTGAAGTACTGGGTGTTGAGATTTACACATGAATTTGGTGGTCTGGGGGGAGTCATAACTCAGTCTATCACACTCACTTAAAGCAGATTTCTTTTCATTTTCCTCTAATAGTGAAATTTTAAGCTCAACATTGTCTTTATTAAAGTGCAGGGCTTATAATTGCATCGAACATGAGTCACCTGGCCAGTGTGGATGCCTAAATTTCTGTGTCTTTCTCAACACCTAAGAAATCACTAATGATCAATGCTCTTTACTCTTGAAGCCTAAATGTTGTTTTTCCTTAGTGCACTTTTCTACACCATTTATATCTAACATCACCAAATCTTCTCCTTTCTTCTCTCTGAACACCTCTGGTTTCTGGATTTTCTTTTCATATTCATAGTAATTGTCCTCATTATGGTCATCATTTTGGCAGCAGTGGCACCGTAATTAATTTCCTTGTCGCCTAGGTTTACCTGTTTTCCCCATCTCCTATTTTGCTACACGATTATTCTTCCTTAAACCAGAAATGTTTCTCGCCTTTCTTTCTCCTGTTAAAATTGCCTAATAATTCTCTATCACCTGGCTGTTCTCCACACTTACCCTGAATGCAAAGCTTTCCTTACCATAACCCCACTCTCTGTAAGTATTCCTCCTGACTGCCTAGCATGGATCACCACACACCTAAACTTCCGTCCGCAATCCCGTGTTTGCGATGCTCCATTTTCTTTAATAACCTTTCCTTTGAACCTGACCCTTTAAGGATCAGTGAATTTTCCGCTCTTCTCTAACGTCCTCTCCAGAGTTCCAAGGTCTGCTCACTTGTTCCTTTCACGTACTTCTATAGCCTTAGAGTTGGTGGCCGCTCATCTCAGTATTTAGTTTTCTATGTTATTACTTCACTTATTCATGTTTTTGTTTTGTGTGTGTGTGTTTTTAAAATATATCTTTTTTTAAAAATATATCTTTATTGATTTCAGAGAGAGGAAGGGAGACGGAGAGAGAGAGAAACATCGATGATGAGAGAGTCATTGATCGGCCGCCTCCCGCACGCCCCCTGCTGGGGATTAAGCGCAAAACCCAGGCCTGTGTCCTGACTGGGAATTGAACCGCGATCTCCTGGATCTTAGGCCCACGCTCAACTGCTGAGCCACGCCTGGCTGGGCTTTCATGTTTTTATATTATTGTTCTCATCAGGTTTATAACAGAGTCTACATTTCATATATATTCCTTCCTGCCTCCATAATAGTGACTCTAAATTATTTTCAAAAGAATAAAATGTTCATTTGTCTGCAAATAATGTCAAAATAGCCTAATGGAAGAAAAGATATGAATAAACAACATAATACATGATTATTTTCAAGACCACAATTTTCTCATTTTGTAAATAATTTTTCTCTTTTTAGAAACACTGTGTGCTTAGTTAGAAAAAGTATAATTTTATTTTCCTCCAATAGTAAAGGATTTAATTACAAATGTAATTTGTTAAATTGTTGCCCTAAAAAGTAGTGCACAGTGTTGATGATACTTAATCAAAGAACATTCTTCATCTGCTGAGTAAATTTAATGTTTGTTTTTCTTTAAAAATAATAGAACAAGTTTACAATATGGAATTATGTGCTTAAAAAGGTTGAATTATGACAGAAAAGAACTGGAAAGAAGGCGAGAAGCAAGCCAACATGAAATAAAAGGTAATATTCTTTCTTTCCTATCAAATGCCTTTTGGTTTTTTGTGTTTTATTTTTAGCTCTCACTTTTATGAATCTAAAATGCTATGTGTGTTACAATGCTCATTAAGTAACATAAGTATATGGCTAGAATGGTGTCATCATTATTTCTTTTCCATTACTTTTCTGATTAAAACACACACACAAAAATCACTTTGCAAGGCACATATCTCAATTAGGGCATGTTCTTGATCTTTTAAATTGAAATTTATTCCTCTGAACCTATTAATTATACATTCTGTTTGTTCTAAAGATACCTCCATGTAGATATTTTTGTCAAACATTTAGTAGAACATTCTCATTATGATTCAGAGAAATGTGGTATATAATTTATTTCTTGTAGTTCATCTTTGGCATCTATCATTTGAAGTTAAAGGATACCACTTCCTAGTGTTCCTCCTGAAGTATCTTTTCCAATTAGCTTGGTCTCACCACATGGAATGCTTCATATGTAGATAGAAAGGATAAGAATTACCCACTTGGTTCTACATCAAGTATTGTATTAGTATTTGACAGTTGCTGTTTAAAGTCTAACTCTGAGAAAAAACTTCCATAATTCACTAAAATTAAACACAGACTTCATATGATAGGCAGCTGTGAGTGAGAATATAAATAGCCCCTATTTCCTGTAAGGGATCTGATGACATTTACAAGAATAACTCTTGACTGTGTCTAGGGGATCTCTGCTATTATCTGAAGTGTTAATTAACCTTGACCTTAATAAACAGCTTTCTAAAGTGAGGGGACCGTGTGAATATCAAGAATGTACTAACATTTAATTTGTTGCTAGGAAACAGTCAACACTGATCTCTGGCTATTTATTGTTTTAGGTCCAGAGGATCTCTACAAAGGTTTAAAGTTGGGGCATAAATTTTGCTTGGAAAAAGATTTATAGAGAGGGATCTGATTTACAAAATGAAAAGAAAGATGTATTGCTGTTCTGAAGAAGAAAAGTTTGGATTAGTGCCTTATTTCTCTTCACCCTGTAAATAGATGGCTTATTTTATATATTTGATGACTCTTAACTATAGGCGTGGCAATGGAATTTTTGACTGGATATATTAATGCAGGTGTTCCAGGGGTCCAGGGACCCAAAGGTCCACAACCCATGTGGGTTTCTTATTTTCCCTACAGGAAAGAATTTAAAGACAAGCCAGCATGGAGTATACCTGCCCAACTTTTGAAATGCTAATGTGCTATAACCAAGAGTTAGAACTAATCAGTTGCTATCAACAGCAGCTGATTAATATAACCAACGTATAATACTAACCAACTTACATCCTATTTGCTGAGATCTTTGTTCCTCAGTAGAACAAGATAGCGGAAACTCAGGGGAAAATGTATACTTTAGGACTGACCCAGACAAACCTAGTGAATATATAATATAAAGTTTTCAGATATAGTAAAAATCATTAAGGAAGTTTTTTATTTTGCTGAAGACATGGAGAAAGAAAGAGCCAAAATTCTGAGGGAGACAATAACTCTCCAACTTCCAAAAGAAATTCATTCTGCTTTGGCTGCAGGAGGAAATACTAATAAGACTGTGGGAAGTGGGCATTTTGAGTCTCTCCTCACATGTTCCTCATTAACTAAGTCCAAAGAGAGACTTAAGGCTTTTCTTTTGCAATGAGGTTGTTCAAGCCACAATAGGAGCTAAGGAGAGAGATGTGAGGCAGGTACGGCTTCCGGATTAATATACAAATGCTTTACCATCACCATGAATTAGCAGAGACGTAAAGAGCACAAACTAATCTGAGGAACTTCCACTTCTGACAATAATGGGGTGCGTTAAATCAGACCAGTCTTCAACAAGAGCAAGTAACAGGCTAGATAATCAATAAACAGCTCTGTGAGGGCAGCCGAAAGCAACTAAAACACCTATGACTTAAAAGGCTAAGATCCTGGGGAAAAGGAGAAATAGGTAGAGATAAGCCTGTCATTCGCTATTGCTTGTCCCTGTCTCACAGACCAGGGAAAGAAAAAATTGTAATTTAGAAGTAGAAAAGCTGCCAGGTGTTGAGGAATCAAGATCCTGGAGCAAAAGGAAATAAGTAAGGCTGACATTTTAACCACCTTTAATCTCAAGACAATTTCAGTTATATTTTATATATTTTATATATATATGCAAAATAAGGTGAACCAAGGGGAAAAAATAGAAAATAGAAACATACCCACCGTTGAACCTGAATCATTTTTTCTCAGACATGGACTTTAAAACAATTGTGATTAATGAGTTAAAAAAATAAATGGCAAAAATGAAAAATTTAATATATAGCTAGAATCTAATGTTAAGAAATAAACAAATGTGGGACTTCTGGGCAAGATGGTGGTAAAGATAAAACACATTACTCACCTCCTCCCACAACCACATCAAAATTACACCTAAATTACAAAACAACCATCATTTAGAACCACCTGAAATCTGGCTGAACGGAAGTCCTACAACTAGGGAATTAAAGAAGAAAGCACATGGAGACTGGTAGGCGGGGGGAGACGCAGAACCAGCTGCACAGGGCCCGCCTCGCATTGCAGGGCTGACTATCAGGGTCCGGGGCCCACTGAGTCCATCCCATGTGGATGTTGCTTGTGGAGGTGGTTGAGTGCTGATGTTTCAGCATGGTCTGAAGCTGCCCATCACTTGAAAACATAGGGTCTGAAACCTGAAAGATGAAAAGAAACAAAAGCATGAGTGATATAAATCAGATCATTAGAGACAATTGAACGCAATGAGGATTCTAATATAGGTGTAATTGGAATCCCAGAGAGAGAGAAAAGGGGGAATTAGGAAGAAGCGATATTTGAAGATAATGGTGGAGATTTGGGGGGGGGGGGGAAAAAAA